ATGTATTTAACGCTTCCTTTCAAACCATTGTTCTCTGGGAACCAGCAGATTCACACACAACCTCAGACAGCCCTCTGGATTAATTAGGCTTAGCAGGTTTTCAAAGGACCACAAACAGCTCTTCAGCCTCCCATTACTTCTTAGGCAAGAAAAATTGATCTCCATTTGTCCTGTGTGTGAGACCAGGTGCTTTTAGCAGCTGGTCCCATTCCATAAAATGCAGGCTCTGTCATAATAGTTGTCTATAAACATCTTCTTGCAGTCAGTGTTTACTCTCCTGTTGCCCACTGGGAACCTGGCATGCTCAGATGGATGTCTGCTTTGGTAAAAAGGTCTGAGTTACAGAATTCTTTTCTGTGTTCTGAGTTATATCATGTTTTCATGGCATTGTAGTATAGGCCAGTGCCCAGTGGTGGTGATCCAAGTTACTCTCGATTACACACGGATAGACACTCGTGGTCTGGCTTGGCAGCACCCTTTTGTGGGTTCACACTGTGTGCCAGGCATCAGTAATCGATGGCTGAATGCCCAAGATGATTTTCAAAGGCACCTGGAAATTGCACCTTCTAAGGGCCTTGGCAAAACAGTCTAGGATATCAAACTTTTATAGCTCCCTCAAGCCCCCTTTTGATGGAGTCAGGGCATGGATAAAAAATGAGTGTCTTTGGCCTTCCAGTACCTCTCTGGCTTTGCCCCTGTCTTGTCTCCTACCTCCCTGTTTTCTTGTTCTCCAAACTCCAGACTTCAGCTTTTCCAAGCATCCAACCTCACCTGCCAACCCCCAGAGAGCCCAGACTCCAGAATTATGACAGAGCATCAAAAAACAGAGGAACTACTCAAAACTTTCTTTGCATAAAGCACTTTTTGGGGGAGAGGAAGGAGGGAGAGATCTGTTCTGAAAAGATGCCCGCAAAGCCAAGTGAAAGAGCCACACGTGTTTCAGAGGGAGGGTGCTGAGCTCGATTCAGGACCTCCTTTCTGGATGTGCTAGTGTGTCCTTGCTTATCTTAAGGCCATCCTGGGATGGTCAAAATCAAATACATTTTAATTGAATTAATAATTTTACATGCCAGAGGACAGGTTCAAGTTTTTGGAAGAAGCCAAAGAATAATCATATGATAGAAAAACTTCGAGTTTTACCTGTTGGTCGTGAATGGGAGACCTTTTATTTTTCCAAGTCATGTGGTGGTATTCCATTTCTTCTTTCTCAGAGGTTGACTTTGAAGTTTACAGATTCTAATGGTGGATGAGAATCGTCCTGAACAGAAAAGGGGATTTGGAAGCACGAATTAGCCGGGAAGGTGCTGGAAATGTTAGCAAAGTTATTTCAATACAGGTGGATGGGGAATGTGGGGGTGTTATGTTTAAGGCAACTCAAAGAATTGTAAGAAAATTACCCTTGGCCTAAAAGTCTCTTTCTCACCAACTTGCTAGAGTGTCCATAAGTCATTCTCTATACTTTGTCTTTGGGATGACCTTAGAAAATTCTGTGGCCAGGAAGGAATAAAATAGCCTGTCATACAGTTCCCTGAAGGTGTCAGGGTCTTATTTATTGCTAGGAAGCCAGGAGAGGACAGGGAAATGGTGCCAAACTAAATATAAACTCCTCTTGCTTTGTAATTTTGCTGAGGGTGTACTCTGCAGAAGGAATAAAATGCTCTCAGTCATGGAACCTTCCAAGGTTCTTGGAGCTTCCGTGAGCATAGAAATGGGAAAGGTACTCAGGAGCTTCTATTCCGAATCAACGGGACAGCCTTTTGGATGCTGAGAAGAAGGTCCCTACGTACAACCCATCAAGTTGTTCAGAGTTTTAGTGCAAAAGGTAGAGTCTCAAAAACAATTTTAAAGGAATTGCCCCTCCAGGTGAAATCTTTTTCAGATTTTTGGGAAACATCCAAGAGGCCTAGGACCACTTGGACATAAAAGGAATGTTTCTATTTTTGCAGGGTGATGTTTTGTCCTTGGCACTGGACAGGATTGTTGGGATGGCTTGCTCTTGTAACCCCCAGAACTCTTCCTAGGAAAGTAGCATCCTTGATTATTGAATGCAAAAGTGATTTAGATGACCCATTTCAACACCTCCTTTTACGATGAGGGAACTGCAGTGCTGGGAAGGTAACAATGAAGAAACCGAATTGTACAGCAAACGTAGCATAGGCTTGGGAACCAGACAGACCTCCATCTCCGACTCAGTGGTTATGTGAACCTGGGCACATGAATCAGTATTTCTGAGCCTCAGTTTCTCCTTTTGTAAACAGTTCTTAGGGAATACCTACTCAATAACTAAACTCTAAACTTGGCCAGTATTATTTTATTTGCCATTTTGTGTTTTTAAGTTGAGACATAATTTACATAACATAAAATTCACCATTTTAAAGTGGGTATATTCACTGCGTTTGTGTGGTCATCACCGCTATCTAATTCCAGAACATTTCCACCCCCCCCAAAAAAACCTGTGCCTGTTAGCAGTCAGTCCCAATTTTCACTTCCGTCTAGTTCCTGGCAACCACTAACCTGCTTTCCATCTCTGGATTTGTCTATTCTGAACATGGACTATTAGTGGAGTCATACAGGTGCTCTGGCATCTTTCACCTGGCATGTTTTCAAGCTTCACCTAAATTGTAGCATATACATCTTCAAGTAATATTCCATTATATGGATGTAGCACATTTTGTGTATATGTTCATCAGTTGATGAAAATTTGGGGCAATTACCATTGTTTTACATGGTTGACCCAAAGGCAGAACTTTGGGCGTCTCTCCGCCCAACCCTGTTTTTACTACTGCGCCCTTTTTCATAACATCTGAGTATGTGCATTGTATTCATAGTAGTGGTTTGCTCGAAGAAACCCCTATAGCCTGGCTAACCGCTGTTAGGATTTCATACCTTTACAAGAATTTTTCTAGTCTGAAAAAAGAAACCACGGCAATCCAAGAAAATAAAATCTAAACATTGTAGAAAAGTTATGCTGAAAACCAGGTTTGATTTTCATTTTCTGCCTGCCAGTGGACTGGTCTTCATCCCACTATGTTTCACAGAACACCCTGAGCCTTGCACTGTGTCTTCTATCTGCCTGGGTTTTGTGCGTGAGTTCATTACCGTGGTTTATAGCCCAGGATCAAAGAGAGTTTTTATTAGCTTTGGTTGATGTTTAAAGACCCTTCTGTTTTGTTCACTTGACTCCATGGCAAATTCAGAATTATTCTCTGCTGCAGCGTGACAGTCACTGTCATTGCGTTAGGTATGGGGAATACATGCCTTTGGCCCAGAACTTAGTACTGGGTGGCCTCACAGCGGGTGACCTCGCCTTCCGACCTGGCCCCTCCCCATTCGCCACCCCAGCACTGGGGCCTGGTGTGCAGGCCTGGAGGGAGCCGGCTGGCTTGGTGCACTTGGGAAAGCTGGTTTTCGCTTAGTGGAGATGAAGCCTTCTCCGGGTGGGCGGGGGCCGGGCAGCAGGTCTCGGAGGGAGGGAGCTGGTTGTTGACACTGTCTGCGTGGGAGCCGGTGACGTGCAGAATGTGGCAGGGTGCCAGCGGCGAAGGCGTGTCCCTGGCTCACTGGGGTTCGTGCTTCCTTATCGTGGGGGGCACGGGCGGAGGGTCCAGCCCGGCCTGCTTTCCTGACTTTGAGCGAGTGTTTTCTTTGCTAAACTTCAGTGCTCCGGTGTGATCACCGCTAATTACTCCTCTCATCTGATGTCCTGTTGTCTTGTTATTCTTCCAGAGCTGGAGTGGCATTAGGGGGCTTCACATGCACCGTCTCATTGGGGGGGCTTCACATGCATTGTCTCATTGTGTGGGGGCTTCACATGCATCGTCTCATTGTGTGGCGGCTTCACATGCACCGTTTCATTGTGGGGGGGGGGCTTCACATGTATCATCTTGTTATGTGGGGGCTTCACATGCACCGTCTCATTGTGTGGGGGCTTCACATGCATCGTCTCATTTATGTTATTTCCTGCTGCTCAGTGTTTGGCAGCCCCGAGGTACATGGAAAACAACTGAGCCCGGCCCTTGTTTTCTTCAAGCTGAGGGTCCCTCTTTCCTCCCCCAATTCCTGGTTCACAGTTTGCACAGCCGTCTTGTCCTGGTCACCCTGTGTATGTGTGTTTTCCACTCTGTCACTGTTCCTCTTAATGTGATGCCCAGGCGTGTGCCATGAACAACCCAGACTAGAGCCATTACCGAGAAATGAGCTGACACTCATTCAACATGGGACACGCATGCCAGTGCTCATACCAGCTGCCTCCTTTTTTTTTTTTTTTTTTTAATATGTTGATCTCAGAGGAAGGGAGAGGTAGAGAGAGAGAAACATCAATGATGGGAGAGTCATTGATCAGCTGCCTCCTGCAAGCCCCTTCTGGGGATCGAGCCTAAAACCCGGGCATGTGCCCTGACCGGGAATCGAACCATGACCTCCTGGTTCATAGGTCAACCCTCAACCACTGAGCCATGTCGGCCAGGCACCGGTCTCCTACCAGCCAACACCACTCCACCCCAGTCCTTTTTCACTTTAACTGCTAGGAGGCAGAGGTTCCTGTTGTGCAGTTGATTTTTTGATCCTGAGAGCAGAACTTTCCATTCCCCCCAATCTGTGTTACCTGTTCTTTACCCTGGGGGCTGGCAGCATTATTGCAGCAGAACTGTGGGAATGGGAGGCGAGGCGAGTTCTAATGCAAGAAATTGTTTGTTAATGGTATGTTAGGATTGGTTCTGTTAATAAGAAAATCCTTCTCCGATTACCTATCCTCGGGTACTTTCGTTAGTCTGTTCTAGTTCATTTGGTTTTCCTGCTTTGCTTTGGAGTCATTTTTAGCATCAACAGTTATGTAGATTGAAAGAATGAACTGGGCAGGCGTTAAGTGTCCTTAGGGAGCTCGGTACCTCAGTCTGCTGGCCAGGTTCTTAACCGCACGGGTCCTGCGTGGGCCGTCGGATGCGCCAGCGTTGCTCGGGAGGCTGTGCCCAGGGCTTTAACCCGCTTTCTGTTCGCTGCAGTTACCTGGCTGAGCAGTGCTGGAATGGCGGCTTCATCTACCTGATCATGCTGCGCCGCTTCAAGCACAAAGTCCAGTCTCCTTACAACGGCAACAGCAGCAACAGCTCGGAACCGGGAGAGACGCCGACCTTGGAGCTGGGCGACCGGACTGTGAAAAAGGGGAAAAGAACAAGAAAGTTTGGAGTCATTTCCAGGCCTTCCACCCACAAGGCCGCTGAAGTATCCAAGAACAGCCCTGGCTGGGAGCTGGACAATGACCCCGCCTCTGAGCTGGACAACGGCCCCGACCCTGAACTTGGAAATGGTCATGCCTTCGAGCTAGAAGATGGTCCTGACTCTCTCAAGGAAGTGGCTGGGTCCCATCTAGACAGGTCCGACGTGGACAGGGGGACAGAGCATAGAGTTCCAAAGACAGAGGCTCCTCTGCCCACCAGCAATGACAAATGCCACTTCTTAAAATCGGGGAAGACGGACTTCCAGTCAAGCGACTGCCTGGCACAGGTAAGGTCTGGTTTGATTCTAGAACCTGAATTTTTAAAGTAATATTTTTTTAACTTGCATTTAAAGTTTAGAAACTATGTCTAAGAGGACCTTGCATTTATAAGCCAACACATTCATTAAGATAAATGATCAGAGGACATAGCAATAACAACCAAAAAATCCAAGTCATTTTATCCCACTTAAATAAAGAGCAAGTCGAGTGATCCTAAGTGGAAAATTCAAGCCTGCTGTGGTATAATTTAAATCATATGAGGCCCAGATGAAGTACTTGAACTGCATCATTATTTATCACCGCTGTCACCAGGAGAATTGCCACTGCGAGGCCAAGAATTCCTGGTGGCAGTCGATAGCATAAATATCCAGGCCTCGGTATTGCACAGGAAGGATGTCCAACATACAGGGACGCATCTGCTTTTATTTTTAACACTTCAGAACCAGCGACACTTTCATGGGATCATGTTATTACATTGCTGAATTCCAGCAAAGTTTAGGAACTTCACAAAACTCTCTGATACTATGGTATCCAGCTGTGATGGTCAGGCTGGTCTTCCTACCTAAAGGCAAAGCAGATGTGGATATTCTGAATGGCACACTTCTAGCCTCAAAATGCCTCCCCCATGATAACCAACACTCTCATGAAGTTACATTTCTTTAGGCTAATCCTCTTGGCAGATACTCCTGTGGATTCTTAACGGAGCAGTAACTTCCTAAGTGGTTCCTGATTGGTGTCTTCTCTGAGTCAGGAGGCGCCCCTAGGGATGACAGGGAAAGCTGGAAATGTGGAAAACGGGCCCAGAGGGAAGTATCCAGTTCAGCTTTGTTGGGAAGTGGAGCCCTGTGAGTGGATGTAATTTCTAAAGACGGTTTTATGCATATTTCTGCAATTGTAGCCAATCTATATAATGGGTTGAGAAGAATCAAAATAACCCTCTCTTATGGGACCAGGTCCCTTCATTTGAGGAGCCAGGTGATCATCATAAAGCCTTTCACAGAGGTGGCACTTGCAGATGGAATGTGGAAACAGATCAGAAGAAAAATCAATGTCTCTATTAATGATTTTTCTACAAGTTATGCTCCCCCCCAAAGAGAATTAAGGTCAAAAAAAGATTATAATGCCCCTCCCTCCAAATTAAGGCCAATAAAAATATGGCCCCTTCTGTCATCCAAAAGTAGAATGTTCTTATAAACCTTTTATAGGCCAAAATGGCCTAAAGCAAAGAAGCAATTCCTATTCATTTATATGGGGAAAATTTTGTGTTCCCAGACCCCAAAAATAACCTACCAAATCACACCAAATAACACACAAAATCTAAAATAACACTAACATATAGTAAAAGCAGTGCCCCTCTCGCTGCTCCGGGTGCCTGCTGCCCCTATAATCGTTCCCTGCAAAACCAACACTGGACACTATTTTCGCTTTTTGTACTTTTCTGTAAAAGCAAAAATCCTCTTTGGGTTTCTTTCAGTTAGTGAGAATAGGTCTACTGTAGGTCTTTGGTAAAAGCTAAGTGTCGTAACACTGACTTTCGAAAAGCAGGTAATACCTGTATTATAATATGTTCCTATCAGTGGACACTATATCTTGATATGATTCCCCACCCCCGATGATTAGATTGTAAATACGTAGAAGGCCTGAGGTGAAAAAAGGTAAGTTAGGGGGTATTGACATCCTTAATTATTTGGAAGTTTTCAGGTACCAAAGGTTTAAGGTTGACTCTCACATACAATTTAAAGAACAGGCTTTCATTTGTAGGATAAGTGGAAATAATTTGGAATGATTTTAAAAGAAAACACACACACACACACACACACACACCCCAAACTTTTAAGAAAGTACCATCCNACACACACACACACACCCCCCCCAAACTTTTAAGAAAGTACCATCCTCTGCTCATCTTAATTAAAGGCAAGAACATAAATTTCATCTTCTGCATTAGACTATCTGAAGACTACACCTATCAGAGTACCTGATTTTTGTGCTTAAGGTCAAATGTCCAAGAAAATATAAATGAAATAGTGGGGGAAAACCCAACCTTGATCTGTTGCATTTGGAGCATTTTTTAAAAGCCAGGTGCCTATAGAAAGAAGAGACTTGCCATCTGGAATTCACATCCTTTGTCACTGTCCATAATCTATAGACTGATGACTGACTTTTGGTCTTGGAAAGTCAGAATGGGCCACACATCTTCAACACGACCATTCTAGCACCCTTTTCAACCCTGGAAGTATCATCATTAGCTGCATTAATCTAAAATTGATAGAAGTAGCTTCCCAGTGGTACCCAAACTGGAACCAGTAGATCTTCACAGAAGTTACTTAGGTTCTTGGGCTGAGTGGAATTTCATATTTGCTCCAGGATGAGCCCAAGGTCATGCAAAAATGGAATTTCCAGAAAAACAAAAATTTGCTATTTACCTTGTAAGCCTTTTAGGGGGAAAATTCCATCCCATTTGAATAATGGGAGATTAAACCTGTCAGCATTGTTCCATTTCTGCTTTATTAATGATTTAATATATCTACAAAGACTTAATAAATTACAGAAAAGGCTTACAATGATCGTTCAGACCATTTTTATTTGTCAGGTGCTTCTTTTTCATAGACTGTTATTTGTTACAGGTTTTTATATTCGGTTCTCTGAGAGCTACAGGAAAATATTTCCTCTTAACAAATATTTTCTTTTAAAAAAAACTGCTATGGTTCTATAAAATATTAACACATAATGATAGGTATGCAACCAGATTACATTTTTAAACTACAAAAGCTGGACCCATCATCTAAAACAAAAGAACCTCCTAGGACCTAGATAAGCAGTTTTAGAAATGCGTTCAGTTACTTACTCCATCTGGGAGGAATCATTACTCCTCTAAGGTGACAGTGTTTGCAAGCCTGTTTGGACATATTTTTTGTAATGCCGCATGGTAAAAACGACTACAACCGAAGGCAGTCTCATAACAGGAACACTCCTACCGTTTGCCAGGCAGGTGAGTTTATTCCCCGCTGGCCGTGCGTCTGTGGGGAACGTTGTGGTCTTATCCTAGTGCTTGTAATCTGCCCTATACAGGGCCAGACCTCTTCCCTGGGCCTTTAACAGAGTCTGAATCTGCAGGGAACGATGGAAACGCAGGAGATGGACACTCAGGACATCTCCCGGGTGGTCCCTGATGTTTGCAGCAAACAAAGGCAGCATCAAGATGACCCTGTTCTAGGAAGCCCCCGTGGTCACTGAGTGAACTTGTGTCCTCCTGCATGGCCATGTCTCCTGAGTCCGTGTCTGCACCTTCACCTCTCTCCTGAGTCCTGAGTTTCTACCAGCTGCCTGCAAGATGTCTCCGTCTTGGATATTTTCCATCATCCCTTAAACTCGGTGCACCACTTTCCCACACCACTGAGTCTGCTCCAGTGTTCCAGGCATCACCACCCACAAGCTGCCCAAACGAGAAACCTGAGCATCAACTAGTGACCACTCGACCTGGTTTGCCTAGAACTTTCCCTGGTTTTGCACTGACAATCCCATGTCCTGGGAAATGCCTTTATCCCAGGTTGGGGACAGTTGGTATCCTGGAGTCAACTGAAATGTTTCCCTCTCTCTTACACCATGTCCAGTCAGTCACCAGGTCCTGTCAACTGCTGCGCCCTGTGGGATCTCCCTGCTCACCCCGCTTCTCTTTCCCCACGGCCACAACTTTAAGACGGGGCAGGCTCCTTTCATATCTCATCTGGGTGCTCATAGTCATCTCCTACCCATCTCACTGCCCCCACTCTCCTCGCGTCACTGCAGTCCGAGACCTTGGTAAAGGGCAAACCTCACCATGCATGCGCCACCATCCCCACATACACTACATACACTCTGATGGGCCCGCTTTGCCTTCAGGGTAATATCCAGGCACCTTGCTTACATAGCAGATAAGGCCCAGCATTATCTGATCCCTCCTTAACTTTCTGCCTCCCTGATTTGGGCTAGATGAGTTATAGGTTTTTGTTTGTTTTTTCCAAAAGGCCATGCTCACTCTTATCTCCGAGCCTTTGTAGATGCTGCTCTTACTGTCCTGTCTTCTCCCCTCCCCAATGTAGCTTAGCTTCTACCTTTCCTGGGGAACCAAACACCATGACACCCTCTCAAGGAGGCTCCGTAACACCCCTGTCACCTGTCCCATCTTTAGGCATCTCCTCTCTGGGCTCCTGCAGTACCCACTGCTTATCTTCATCAATGCATGAATCCCATGTATTCCAAATACCATTTGGCTGTGTGTTCCCAGTAGTCTTTAAGGGCAAAGACCTTATTTGTCTTTCCTAACTCAGTACCTTGCTCCTATAGGTGCTCTGTAGCTATTAATTAACAAAGACACCCAAGAGCACCAGGCCTGAGAGATGGACACCAAGTTCCAGCCCCAGCTCTCCCATCCCACCTTCTCACCTGGAAACTGAGCCTTTTGGTCGGATGACTAAGGGCCGACTACTTTGACATGATCACACACTTCTTCACAGCTTACTGACTCCTCTAAGTAAGGGAGGAGCAGACGGTCTCAGAATAGGGCTATAATTCGAGCCAGAGAATTTACAGCAGTGAAATTCTAGCTGGGTGGTGTTTCTTCTCACATTTGGGGCAAAGATGCTGTTGTAAAATTTTATTTTTGGTTCCAGAAGAAGATGAGGTCATTTCAATGCTACTGAGCCAGCTCCCTTTAAAGTGTCACCCCTGTTTGGTAAACAAACCCCCTTGTTTGCCTCCATGAAGAGATGCATGCGTGTGCTCGTACAGTAATTGGCACCTTATAGGAAGGGTAGCATTCTGGCAGCATTAATGCAGAGAGGTCCATGGCGTCCAGTTTTGTGTGGTTTGGCTCTTTCTCGCCAGGCTGACAAAGTCTCATTGCCCTTTAAGCCCGTGTGAAGGGAACCAAAGCCTGAGCCATCTGTCTAGACGGGCTGTGTTTCGTAACTCAGTTGTGTGTACAACTGGATCAGTGTTCACACGCTGAACATTGGCAAACACACAGGTCTCCCATCTGAGTGAGCCTCTTAATGTCAGTCTCAGTAACTTCTGAAGAACCATCAGAATAGTGGATAAACATCTCATAACTGTTAATTTCATGACATTTATGCATATTGCTATGTGCTAAGCACTGTTCGAGGTGATAGAGAACCCATTGGTAAACGAGAAACAAGGTTCCCATGGCATTTACCACATGGAAGGAGCCATAAGCAATAAATAAGCAAATAATTCAGAATGTTAGATAGTGACAAGATCTATAAATAAAATAAGAACTGGTGAAGTGAGAGATGACTGGGTAGTGTCATGGGTGGGGGATTAACTGATACTGGATGTCAGCAAAGACCTCATTAAAGAGGCACTGTTTGAGCTGAAGAGTGTCAAGAAAGGGTAGCCCTGGAAAATCTGGGGGCAGGATGTTTCCAGGGAGGAGCCAGCACATGCATCTGCTCTAACAAGAATGATAGTGTTCCTGGAGCAGAGAAACTGAAGCACAGTGAGCAATGGGGAGAGCACTAGGAGGTGAGCTGGGAGATGAGAGCAGGGCTGGATTACAAAGGATGGTGTATGCCATCACCAAGAGCTAGCTCATTCTATGTCTATTAGGGAGCTATTGAAAGGTTTAAGCTGAGTGCATCATAACATGTGTTTTTTTATTTTTATTTTTTTAAAATATTTTTTATTGAGTTTTAGAGAAAGGGAGAGGGAGAGAGAGAAACATGATGTGAGAGGGATGTGATGGGCTGCCTCCTGCATGCCCCCAGCTGGGGATCAAGTTCCAGGTATGTGCCCTGACCAGGAATTGGACCAGCAGCCTTTCTGTGCAGGGCTCGATGCCCAACCAGCTGAGCCACACCAGCCAGGGTGACGTATGCTTTTTTAAAGTTCACCCTAGATGTGTGATGGAGAGTAGTGGGTTGTAGGAGGAGAAGAATTGAAAAGAAAGACCAGGTTGGAGGCTGTTGTGATAACCCAAGCTGACGATGCTTGTGGCTTTTACAAGGTCAGTGGCAGGAAAAGAGCAGGAGGACGTGGGTATGGGTCTGTTTTGCAAGTAGAGCTTACAGATCTTGCTCATGGTTTGGGTTAGGGGCTAGAAGGAGGAATCAAAGATAACTCCTGGGCTTTTGGCTTTTGCATCCTGTTTATCTTGAGTAGATGATAGTATTTTTCTTACTGAGATGCAAAAGCCAGGGGTAGGAGGGGGAGAGTCCTGTTTTGACCATACTGAAGTGTATGTTAGATACCCAAGTGGAATGGCAAGGAGGCAGTTGAAAGTATACTTAATATTATTATATTTAAGTTGGCCAGTTGGGTTTTGGCCACTACCAGCTTTAGCTGAATAAACTTCAAAGACTGATTGTATTTTTAACTGAGCACTGCTTTCAGCTATAGGCAGATAAATTTAATACCATACTGACAGTCGTACAATTGAGACTGATAACATCTGCCTCTTCCTGTTTGTGCCTTCCTTTGTGTACCTCTGAACTCCTGATTAGATGACCAAGAAATTCCAAGGCAAGGAAACCTGCCTTGCTTTCTGTGAACTCTCTCCTTATAGTTCCCACTTCCAATTATTTTTTAAAAAAATCATATTATTGGATAAAAGTGAAAAGAAAATGATAATCTGTTTCTTGACTAGTAAAACTGGAGGCTATATTACAGATGGGTCATTTTTTCCATCTGAAGCCATTTTTATTAGGTATGTGTTTTGTTTTGCTTTGCTTTTAACTTGTATGTGTTTTGGGCAGGGGCAGGGGTATGGAGTGGGGATGGGGGTGCTCTTGATGAAAATTGTCTTTAACTTTTCTGTTAGAGTATATATTAGGCCATTATTCTTTCCCAGTTATCATCGTTTTGCATGTTTCTTGTCACAAGTCCTATTTCCAAAAGCAAATAAAAATTAGAACCATATCTAGCATTGTCACACAATGTAGAAACCATACTTAACATGTTCTGTTTAACAAAATAAGGGTAGGAAGGGGGAAATGGTGGTGTAACTAGTAGTGGGATGGATAGGCTTTTACTAATTTAGCCATTTCTTATTTCTAGACTCTAATAATGGTCCCTGTTGCTCTTGGGAAAGAGTTCCACAGCTTTTCTTATTTACTGGGAGAGTGGGGAGCAGTTCCACATCTTCAAGACTCCAGGACCCATTGGCATATCTTCCAAGGAAAAAGCAAGGCAGGCCACTGTCTGCTCTAGTTTCCCAACTGCATCATGAGGCCCAGGAGGCAGCCACAGGCTGACCCATGTGCTAGTGTGGGATGCCCAGCGAGCCAGGACAACAGAGAATCAGCACATCCCTGAATTTGTTCCCTCTGGGGCTATCCATTCGCTAGGCCATAGGCGCTCATGGACTGGAAGTGTTGAAAGTTGCCATCTTGGTGTTAGCACTGATTCTCAAGGATGGCTTCTTGAATTAGTGGGGCTAAGTGAGACGTTGAAGGCCAGGGAGGCTGTTTCTGAAGGGAAGAGAGAAAGGTGTTCCAGAGGTCACAGGCAAAAAACTGAAAGCCATGGAACCCACAGTGAGCCGACTGGATGATACCAAGATCGTTGACAAGTTCATGAACTGCTGTGGTAAGCCAGTGACTTCTGAAGTTACATCTGGCCAGACAGGCTTCGTGTGTCTGTGGTGAGTGGATGAAGGAGACAGTTGGCACCCACTGCATGTTTCTGGGGTAATGGAGCCCTACCGAGCAATGCTATACTAGAAAAAGTTAGGATCCAACAGGTCTCTGTCTGGTAATAATTTCCCCAGACATTCCTGTTGCTGCACATCAGTGACCGTTCAACATCTGGTTTTTTTACTATTGCATAAAGTTTCATTTTAGTTTCTGACAGTGTGTATTTCAGATTTTCTAAGTGCTTCACATTCTTTCTCTTTTGCAAGCAGCTTGAATGGGCAGGTTGCCTATTTCTAGGGGGACAGTGGCTTTGTCCATATTGGACTTAATGGTTCCATTGGACCTTCATGATGGGTGAAGAAAGCAGATGGCTTTTGTCTTAAATGTTGAAGAATGCATTGTGACCCATACCTGTGTACCTAGAACTACAAAGAACTGTAGGGGTGAGCCCAAATATGACCCAAAATAAACCACTAGGGAAGGTTTTCCTTTAATTTCTCTGAATAGTTAAGTAGCTGAGGGAACTCAAACATTTTGCAGTGGGCATAATGTTTGTGTCCTTGGAGTGAAATGGGGAGTCAACGGGGAATGAACTGAACCAGAAAAGCTACCAGCAGTCCAGAGGACTTAAAGACATTCATTAGTTTTTAAAAGGGTAAATTTTTGTGAGTTGAAGCATTTTTTTATGTATTGAAAGCATATATAGACCAATGTCTGTAGAAGTCAATAACAAATTCATCAACTAACTTACTGTTTTGGTTTTTCCTACCAGAGATCTCATTTATATGTTTTAAGGAAGTTTGAGATCTGATTCAATATGATGTTTGTAACATATATGCACATTATATATATTATAAGTACTATATGGCTACCCATCAACATTTATTATGTACCTAGAATGGGGAACTAGATGTTGGGGTCATCGGTACCTGTTTCCATAAATATATCATTTAACCCTAACAACAAACCTGAATTATTCATGATTATCCCCACTTTAGAGGCAAAGAAACTGAGGTTTTTAGGCGTCAGGTGACTTTCAGAAGTACTAAGAAGCAGAGCTAGGCTCAGTCTAGCCGAAGTCTCCTGGCGCCAAGACCTCGCTTGTCTCCCTTTCATCTTCCCGTATTAATTAGTAGCTGCGTGCACAGTGGCATCCGGGCTTCGGGCACGAGGACCCTGCTCGGGAATGTAGCAATCACCCCGCTGCGCTGTCCACTCTCATAGCCTCTAGCCATAGGTGGCTCTTCAACTAAAATGAAATGAAGCTAAAAATTCAGTGTGTCGGTCACCACTCCCATCTCAAGCCCTAAACAGCCGCCTGCGGCCGTGAGTCCATGTCGGGTGGTGCAAACATGGGGCACTCCCACCGTCAGACAGCCCACAGCGTCTTCGCCCGCGACCTCTGTCGCTGAGAGATGAGTGGCCGCTCGCTGGCCGGTCCGCGCCCCGTCTGTACTCTCACCACGTGCTCGCTTTTTCTTCCCAGGAGGAAGTCGGCCGGATATGGAAGCTGGAGCTGATGAAAGAATCAGACGGGCTGGGAATTCAGGTTAGTGGAGGCCGAGGATCAAAGCGCTCGCCTCACGCTATCGTTGTCACTCAAGTGAAGGAAGGCGGTGCGGCTCACAGGTGACTAGTTAACTCTCTCGCTTTCTCTCCCTCCCCCCTCCCTGCCCTGCCCCTGGCCCGAGGGCTCTCCCGGGGTTGGAGCACCGGTGCGGACAGTTGGCCAGGATTATGCTGGAGCACGGGCCGCCAGGCCCAGCAGCTCTAGTTAAATCCCCCTCTGAGCACAGAAGGTGGCAATTGCTGGAGGCACCGCGGGCTCCGCCCAACCGTCAAGGAGAAACGGGGTTTCTTTCTAGTTCACTTTGAGTTTCAAGCAAATGTTACCTGTCCTGACTCTGGGATGCTGGTAATACGTGGTCACTTATCAAGACTGTGCCACGCAACACAGTACCACATCCTGACATCCTAATTCCCAGAAGACTGGGAAAGAGATTGGTTTTAAATACGACACGGTTCACGTGTGGTGTGAGGATCCTGCGCGCACACGTACGCGTGTCTCTGTGCTGCGGAGGTAGAGGGGGAAGGCGAGCCTTTCTCCTCACGACCTGACAACAGCTCAGCCCTCAAACTCCTTTTCTAGTCGGAACAATGAATGACCTGAAATAGGAAGAGAGATGGTGCTTCAGCAGAGCTGATACAAAAAAGAAGTCCAAGTGGAGTTATAGGGATGTAGCTGTCCCCAAACGCAAGGCATGCTCTTGCCACGCTAGCTAATTGCTCCCATGTACAGTAAGTCCTCGCTTAACATGGATAGGTTGTGCAACTTTAAGCAAAACGATGTATAATGAAACCAGTTTGACCACAGGCCAATTGATATAAACAAGAGTTAAGTTCCTAGAGCACCTCGTAAACATTATAATACAACGATGTTGAACGAAATGTTATTCGAGGACCTGTTGTACATAGGGCGTCTGCTGTTTGCAAGGCACGGCGGGGTGTGTACGTGTTGCATGCCCACATGTATACAGTAGGCATATAGAGAGTTTCACTGGTGAGGAAGGTGAATGTAGTCTGGAATTTATAGTGCTCAGGCCAAGTACCCCGATACTAAGGGAGGTGTGGCAGGCCTGAGCAGTACTGGTCGAGAGGGCATTCAGAAGTAGATCTCACGAGGTGGAATTGAGGAGCTGGAGGTTGTTTAGTCCAAAGAATGGAAAACTAGGGAGAGAACCAGGGCACAAACTATCAAAGCATTTCCTGCTCATCAGTCCTCTAACTAGAAAGTGGGAGGCTAATAACTGAAGTCGAGATAAAATTAACTATACTTGTCAGTTAGCTGCGTGGCAGTAATTATGAAGAATGAAGACCTTGGGTGGTTTTTATCCAGAGGAGCATCATTAAATTCCCAAATAATATATGCTTTAAGGCCCTCCCACCAGGTAGCCATTTTCCCACTAATCCTAGGTCTTAGGTTCTAGCCTGTCCTTGGAAAGTTGGCAAGTAGGAAATTCCTGTGGCCAGGGATAAGCTTACATAGAGCTGTTCTTGTCCATGTTCTCTGTGGGCTGTTTATCGTGGGTCTCTCATTTCTGTTCACCCTTAGCTGGGAGTTATGTGTGTGTCTCTCTCTCTCCACCTCTGGGGTGGATAATTCACACGTAGGTATTCTCGTCAATAACAGAAGAGCAAGATGGAATTAAAGAGGGAAACAAGTAGAGGGATGGGGACGGGGAGGATCTTGGTGGCTCTGTGGATAAAAAACCAGGGACACTGGCTGAAACCATTGGATTCTCCTTTATTCCCAAACCCCTGGCCTCCAGAGTGGCGCACCACACACCTCCTTGAGAATCCAGGTGTTCGTTCTCTGTGGGTGGTGGTGTGCTTGCTCTGTTTCCCCCACTTTCCATTCCAAACAACCAGGGGGGTCCTTAGCATTTCTCTGGCTTAGGGGTGTTTGAAGGACAGAAGCAGAGGCAGTCAGAAGTCCCTGGTGCCCCTTATCTTCTGTTAGAGTCTGAATTCATAGAAGAGAGTATGATGCATGCCCTAGAGTAGGGGTGGGGAAGGTCCTGCCCTGAGGCAACCGCAGGTAGGACTTGAAATTCAATAAATCTAGGAGCTTTTTTCATAGCTAATTTTTAAGTTGATAATTTTTTATGGCCCACGAATGATGTTATAAATATCCAAATGGCCCTAGGCACAAAAAAGGTTCCCCACCCCTGCCCTAGCAGATGGAGATAGGGGAAGGGAAACTGGCTAGGGAAGGGAGGGTGGAGAGAAGCTGGTTGATCCATTGAAAGTTCCACAGATTGGGGAGAAACGGAGTTGGGTGGGTTTGGGACTATTGAAGAACTGCATGTGTCCCAGGGTGTACCCTGAGTGCTAATACAAAGTCCACAGAGGAGATGGTGGAAACCTAGGCTTAGGGTTTCTCAGCCTCACCAGATTTCCTATTCCATATTTAGCAATGGAGATGGCTCCTTTGGGATTATGAGAGACCAGGCCCTTGGGGGCTCAGTTGGAACCCATGAGACTATTGATGCACCACGAATGAAGGGGCCTGCCCAATGCTCTGGCAGAGTATGCCTCCCAGGCCCTTGACCCACCCAGGGGAGCTGGTTCCCATGAGGTCTGGGTCTCTTGCCAGCCCAGGGAAGGAAGCTCTGCGTCAGCTGTAATTTAATTGAAAGGAAATAAAGAAGCAGAATGTGTTTGTGCACCTATGTCTATAGACCAGCTCTGATAACCTGCAACAGCAATAAGTTAGTTTCTTTGTTCATTTTTGTGTTCATCCTTCTGCTGATGAAGCTTGGCTGTAGGGACACAGGATGAAAAGGAGCTGAGAGACTTTATCCTCAAGGTCCTATTACTCTGGGGGAGAGGCGAGATGGATAGACACATGTACTGTGGTGTCACAGGCACCACAGGAAGTCTGGCCAGGGCCTGTCACCTGGAAGAAAGAGAGCATGGGTTAGGGAAGGATTCTAGGCAAGCTTAGGATGCCTTTGCTTTCTTTGGGCTCAGCTCAGTGAATCACTGATGACTTGAGTCACAAGGGAAGGATGGCAGGTAGGACTGAGAAAAGAATGCTTGAGGTCCGGTTCCTCTATCATGGTTTCCACCCAGATGGGACATTTCATTGACATTAATGCAAGGTTGTGTGGTGGTAACGTAAGAATGTGCCTGCTATGAGGTGACCACCTAAAATGATGGATCATTTCACTCCTCTGAGTGGGAACCTGGACCAAAGGATAAAGCACCCCCATCCCAACTATTTCTGGTCATTCCTCTTTAGCCTAGATGTAACTGTTCCTTGTCACAACCCTCCCAGCTCCAGTACAGTGTCCTTTCTCAAGCCCAGAATGCCTTGACAAGGGATTTTTCCCATCTCCATTTCCTCAGGGATGGTCGACTGTCCTTAGGAGATGAACTACTGGTCATCAATGGTCACTTACTGGTCGGCCTGTCCCATGAGGAAGCTGTCGCTATCCTTCGCTCAGCCACTGGAATGGTTCAGCTGGTTGTGGCCAGCAAGGTAGGTAGTTTTTGTGTGTGTTTTGTGTGTATCTCTAACTTGGAGCCCTCCCCATGCACCTTTACCTCGGGCCATTCAAACAGCCATGATTCTACAGTGTAGGCCCACATGGGGCCCTTAGCTGAAGTGTAGTTAATCATTCTGCTTTCTTTTAAGGGTCTTTATAAGGTATATTTAGGAGATGGAAAACCATAATAAGACTAAGGAAAAGGTCAAGATGGTAGGGTGGTGGCAGGACAGGGTCGAGAGAGCAGCAGCTCGCCTGGGGAGAAACTGAGGAGGGGAAGTGCAAGTCCGCCCAGCAGCAGGGAGGAGAGGCGTGGAGGTGAGCATCTTCCAGGTCATGGAGGAAGAGTGGCTCTGACTCATGGCCTCACGAGCGTTGGTGCTGGAGGAGATCTTGTGAGTCCTGTTTGTCCAGTCACCCCCTCCCTTTCTTCCTCCTCAGTTTTACAAGCGAGACAGTGAGGCACAGCGTCCATGGCAGCTCCCTTTTCGGTGGCCTTGATGCTGTTCAGGTTCTTGATACACAGTCAGTGTCTGTCTCCTCCATCTGTGGCCGCCTCTTCTTTACGAGGCCCTCGGCTGGGGTCCCTGGTGTGCGTTAAGATAGTGCTGACATCCTGGGCCCCCGGCATCTGCTTCCTCCCTGGGTCTCAACACCCTGAGTGCTCTGGATAAAGGCTGGGGACTCTGTGGCTGTGTGAGGAGGAAGAGTGGGAACTGGGTCTCCTGGTTCTGCTCCATTGTCTCATCAAGCTGTGGATGAGACTAGGAAAGAGCCCACATGACGGAGGCACTAGCAAAGTGTTGTCACGAGGCTTCGCCCCAGTTCATTCCAGTTGCAGTTCAGGGAAGAATTGGGGCGAGCTTTGTGTTCCTGCCAGTATGACCACTATCTCCCTACTTTCCCTGTTATTATTTTTGAACCTTAGCATCTGCAGGTGTTTATCTACAGGGTGGGGCAAAAGTAGGTTTACAGTTATTCATAGTAATACAATAATAAATAATAATACAAGAATAAATTTTGTTTCATGTACTCACAACTGTAAATTTCCTTTTGCCCCACCCTGTATTTCTGCCTCTTAGGTTGTAAGGTCTGATAGTAATGGAGTCTGTTTCCATGTGTTTTTGTTGACCTTGAAAAGTTGTTTAAGGGCTGCTTTTATTGCAAATACATCATCCATCTCCACTTTGGCATTTCAATTCAATAAACAGTCTAATCTCTTTCTCATGAACATATGCCAGTGAGGTGAGCAATGGGAGAGGAGCACACGGTGTATATTTGAGCTCTGTGCTAGGCCTCAGGCCACAGCGATGAATAGAAATGGTGTTCAGTTTGGGGAACCCTCAGACAAGTGGGGGAGATAGACGAGCCATACACTGCAAGGCAATAGCAGACAGTAAAGGACATTAGAGGAAAAAGGAGGGGCAAGTAGAAGGCCTCCTGATGTGATCCAGGAAGGTCTGCAGGAGAAGTTGCTCATGCTTTGCCCCAGGAGGCCTTGGTCATGAGAAGAAGGGTGGTCTAGGCAGAGGACGCTGCTGGTGGAAAAGGCAGTAATAGGGCAAGGGACAATCTGGGGCGTTTGAATGGGAGGTGTGGGTTGGAGGGGAGAATGGAGAGAGATGAGTTTGGAGAACTGGGCAGGGGCCAGATCTCTAAGATGTTTGTCTCTCAATGAGGGGCTGTAAACTGTATCCTGAAAGCAAGACATGGGAGGGCATCAAAGGATTGGAGGTTCAGGGAGCTTGGATTGTCCATAGAAACATTCATCTAAGAAGCACAGATTGTTCAGGAGGGAAAATTGGTTTGAGTTTAAACTGGGTCCCCACCCCTGACGTTAGAGGTAGCCTTGCAAACGTAGAAATGCAGAACATACATTCCATATAGTCTTCAGGTTGGGGGCCCAGAACTGCTGGTGCCGTGGGGTGATTCAGGGTCTTCCCTTGTGTTCCCATAGGAAACCTCTGCAGAGGACCTCCTGCGGTTAACGTCCAAGAGTTTGCCTGACCTGACCAGCTCGGTAGAGGACGTGTCCTCTTGGACTGACAACGAAGACCAGGAGCCAGACGGGGAAGAGGACCTAGGAGCTGGCCCGTCTTCCGTCCGGGGAGCAGTAAGTGTGCTGTGGTCCCCCACAGCTGCTGGAGCGACGTCTCCCCACAGACGCGCTGCCAGGGTCACGGTCAAAGCCCGAGATGGCCTGATAGGGCGCAGAGTGGGAAAGGACCACAGTGCATTCTTTTTATTTTATGTCGCAATCTTCCAGAGAGATCGATGAGCGTAATGCTATTCGTTTAAGAAAAGACATCGAAACTGGAAACAGGATAAGAGAGCAACTGGGTATTAAGTTCAGTGACTATAGCAGTTTCTAGGAGGCTTAATAATATGTACAAGGATTTTATTAATACTCTTGATAGAGGGTTTGAAAACTGTCGTGTGTGCGTTTAAACTTAGAGATTTCTGGTTGAAAGTAGAATGTTAACACAAAACTCCTTCATGCAAAGTTGTGTAGATAGGTCTTAAAGTTTTTTAATTTTTTAAAATATATCTTTATTGATTTCAGAGAGAGGAAGGGAGAGGGAGAAAGAGAGATAGAAACGTCAATGATGAATCATCATTGATCGGCTGCCTCCTGCACGCCCCCGACTGGGGATCGAGCCCGCAACCTGAGCATGTGCCCTGACCGGGAATCGAACCGCAGTCTCCTGGATCCTAGGTTGATGCTCAACTGCTGAGCCACGCCCGGCCGGGCAGGTCTTAAATTTTTAATCAAACCAGCACTCTCCATGGTCGTAGCTCTTCCTTACACAGCCTATGACACCTCACACCTTCATGGTCTGCTCCTGGCACAGTCAGGAGGACTGTCAGTTAACTGTGCTCTCCGTGTGGCTCTGTGGTCTCTGCTTTATATGCCACATCTGAGAGGTGTGTCATTTTTAGTGTAAACTCTCGTTAGCCCTTGTTTCCCAGTCAACCAGCCATGGGAAGGGTGCTCCCTTTCTGCCATTTGAAGCCCCTTAGAGTTTCTTGGTCAAAGGTTTTCTCCAGAGAAGTTATACTAACTTAAACTTCTGGTAGTTCCCAGTTCCCATCATCACCAAAGACATTATCTTTTTTTTTTTTTTTTTAAGTTACCAATTAATCACATATTGTTTTATATGCTTATCGCTGTATTTTTTCCAAAGGAATTTCAATGCATTCTGTCCAATACACTTTCTTTGGGCAACTTTAGGTGGCCTTTAAATCTCAAACCCAGTATCACAGTGGAGAAACCAGGACTGATCCTGCCATGACAGCTCCCCCTTCTCCGCCCCTTGGAGTCCACCTCACCCTGCCCCTCCTTCTGCTCCATCCCCTCACAAAGCACTGAGAGAGGAAGGGACACTGGGCTTCTTCCCGGCTCACCACCCAAGTCTGACCACCCATCCTTTGTTGGCCATTCTCCTGAGGTCCAGTTTCCACCAGGAGAACTGGGCCTGAGACTGAGCCCTACAGGCCCAGGAGAAGGGCAGCTGCCACAGTCTGCCCAGGGTCTGCTCTCGGGACCTCATACAGGTGCTGAACTACTGAGAAAATAATATATACAGTGTGTCCCCAAAAATGTATACACACTTCAACAGCTTATATATCTCAGTTTTGAAAATGAAATATATTTTAATAAACACTGCCTTTATAATTATTCAAAGTGTGTGTATACAATTTTGAGAACACCTTATAAATATGTATATATTTTTTAGTTCTATGCTTACAATCCAGGACTCTATTTTGTAATTTTTAAGCACTAATGACCCACGTTAAATGAAAGAAACCTGGTGCTGTTTAGTCAACCAGGTTACCCAGCCTTTTATTCCACAGATGAGAATGATTAGACCTGCTGCCAATCCCACTCAGACGCTGACTGGTTTTGCACCTGTAAGTGGCTGTGTGCTCCAAACACTTAGGCTGAGCAAATGTAATACAAATGCTGAGGACCTGCCAAGAGCGCCCTTATGATTTATTTTTCATGGCTACAATAAACAGCAATGAGATTTTCCTTTCAAAAAGCTCCAGCCATGCTTAGGATAAAACCATATGGTGAATATCAAGTTTGAGGAATGGAGGCAGGCAAAAAGGAAACAGGAATGGGATGGTGAATTCCAGTCCTTTGCATGATTGTCATCAGTCTCAGTGGGGTCTGGTTTCAGCGACAGGGCTCCCTCCCCTCCCCCCACCACCACATCCAACATCGAAGGCTGCNGAGAACACCTTATAAATGTGTATATATTTTTTAGTTCTATGCTTACAATCCAGGACTCTATTTTGTAATTTTTAAGCACTAATGACCCACGTTAAATGAAAGAAACCTGGTGCTGTTTAGTCAACCAGGTTACCCAGCCTTTTATTCCACAGATGAGAATGATTAGACCTGCTGCCAATCCCACTCAGACGCTGACTGGTTTTGCACCTGTAAGTGGCTGTGTGCTCCAAACACTTAGGCTGAGCAAATGTAATACAAATGCTGAGGACCTGCCAAGAGCGCCCTTATGATTTATTTTTCATGGCTACAATAAACAGCAATGAGATTTTCCTTTCAAAAAGCTCCAGCCATGCTTAGGATAAAACCATATGGTGAATATCAAGTTTGAGGAATGGAGGCAGGCAAAAAGGAAACAGGAATGGGATGGTGAATTCCAGTCCTTTGCATGATTGTCATCAGTCTCAGTGGGGTCTGGTTTCAGCGACAGGGCTCCCTCCCCTCCCCCCACCACCACATCCAACATCGAAGGCTGCCTCTTGGTGTCAGAAATTCTTGAGCCCTTTCCCCCATACCAGCTGCGGTCCTGGACCACCTGACCGGCCACTCTTCCTCAAGTCTGTCTGCTCCACTTTGTCTTCTGCTCTGCAGTGACAGTTTTTAAATGAGAATCTGGCCATGTCATTAACAGTTTAAAATCGTTCAGAGGCTCTCAATCATGCTGAGGTTAAAATCCAAACTCCTTATTGTGGACTGCCATCAGTTCCAGCCCACTGTGCCACCTTTTGTCCTGTGCATGCTCCCAGTAGCCCTACGCACACGCAAGCACGCATGCACACACGCACACACGCACACAGCCCCTCCTGGCAGTGTGAGCTCCACGTTCCCCAGGCTGCCACTTTGTGCCTTCACATCTGCTATTCCTTCTGCCTAGAAGACCTTCTTTGCCTGGCAAAATCATGGCCAACCCAGCCCAGTGTCACTGCTCCCATCAGGACACCTCTCCCTGACCCCCAGAGCCCTTGTGTCTGTGCTCTGTGCTTGCACAGCTCTGTGTGGCCATTTCTACCATAGCTCTTACCATCTTGTTCTCATAAATTACCTTTTTACTCTTCTGTCTTCCTCATTAGATATAAACATTTCAAAGGCAGAGGCCGTGAAGCCTAAGCATCTCTCTATCCCTAGGACAGTACAATGCCTGGAAAACAAAAGGGGGTGGAAGGAAGGCAGGGACTCTCCTTTGCTCTCCTGTCATTTCTTGACTACTTCTGGTCCTTCCCTGGAGGATAGACGCTCACCTGGTCCTTATGTCCTGAGGTACAGTCGCCAGTCGCCAGCCTCTGATTCTGCTTCCCTCCTCTTGCCCCCCCACACTCGCCCTGCCCAGGCCTCTCCTCACCCGCCCCTGCCTCATCCTCCGGTCAGGGTGTCAGCACTTCAGGATCTGGCCTTGACGCTGACTGGAGCAGTTCTCTCTGGTCCTTGTGGCCGGTTGAGGGGGGCTCAGCTCACTTGCAGGTTTTGCGCACTCAGCTGCTGGGGTGGTGCAGCTGAGTGGGTAAATCAGGGAGGACATGATTGTCACTCTGTTCCGCATGCCAGGACCCCCATGGAGAGGGGAGTTAGGTTGAAAGGAATGGAGATGGTTGGCTTTGAGGTGTTACACATGTGCCCTCCTCCCCGGTTACCTAAGCACTACCTTCCTCCCAAAGACCATATAAAGTTCAAAGTTACCTGTGATGCCTCCCACTCTGGAAGCATCTACAATCATCTCTCTCCCAAACCTGCTCCCCTGGCCTTTGGCATCTGCTGTTTTCTATTTATTTGTTGCCATTTATCTCTTTGGGGAAAGAAAGAAAATACGCAAGCTTTGCAAATTTTTGAAGTCAGGTGTACCTCTTTGGGTACACCTCAGTATCCAATGAAGTGCCTTGCGTTCAGTACATGCTCAGTACATGTGTCTTGATCATAAAGCCATCTGTAGAGCAGTGGTTCTTAAAGTGTGGTTCCCGGACCTTCAGCATCAGTGTTACCTAGAAACTTGTTAAAAATACAAACCCTTGCCTTCTGGGGGGAGGGGGG